CACCACCAAGCTTATCGCAACCTTAGGCCTACTCACAACCGACCGCTCACTGAATTTGCTAATGATCAAATTGGATTGTTTGATAAATGGATTCGCTCGGCTAAAGCCGAAACATACGAGGCACTGAAGAATTTGGTTTTAATGGAACAGTTTATAGATAATATGCCAGAGAATGTAGCACATTACATTAGAGGTAGAGTAGAGGTAGATTCTAAAATAGGGGATTTGGTCAAGATGACAGAAAACTACCAGTTGGCGGGCAAAAGGCCCAATAAAAATAATTATACCCCACAAAGTAGCAAAACTTATACCCACAGCCAGTCCAGACCAGCTCATTCTAACCCTTTAACTAATGCACCTTCCGTTTCAGACATAACTAACCCTGTTAAAGTGTCTAGCCCCACAGTACCTAAGAGTGAACCAAAGGGTAATCCTGTTAGTAATGTCTCTTCTCCCCGACATATCTGTGGTCACTGTAAACGTCCAAACCACACTACTAGGCGTTGTTGGCAACTGTACCCGAAAAAAAGACCCAATGCTCTCGTTGTGACACAGGGCTTGAGGCCTTCTGAAGGGTTAGGGAATAAGACCTCCAACCCACAGTGGTTGGACTTGCTTACCCCATTCTTATCGAAAGGGAGACTACTATTGTCTGAGGGTTCTTCCTGGAAGGACGTGGTGATCTTCCGAGACATCAGTGCCATCCAGACTTTAATTTTAGAGAGTGCTTTGCAAAGTCCCAACACTCTTGACACTGGAGAGGTGGTACTGGTCGAGGGTGTCACTAGTGATACTCGAGCAGTACCCCTCCATAAGGTTACCCTGGAATCTGATTTCCACAAGGGTGTTTGTACAGTCGGAGTCACTTCGTACCTACCTTTCCCTAATGTTGATGTAATAGTTGGTAATGATTTAGCAGGGGATAAAGTAGGGGACTACAGACTGCCTATTATGTTGCCTACCCCTAAGGTTTGCCTGGATCCACCCGCCACAGAGGATAATGTTGTGTACCCTGCGTGCGCGGTGACCCGGTCTATGGGACTTAAATGTAAGGGCAGCCCTGTGCTTGCCAAGGTGGTAAATCCCGAGGACACGAGGAACTTTCCGAGTGTTGAAAGCCATGTGGACCTTGCGGACACATTCATGGCCCTACTCGATGACGTGGCCGCGGACATTGTGGAAAGCCTGCCACCGCCGCCTCCAAGAGTAGTGAGGTGGTGGTGGAGAACACTGTTGAGCCTCGGCCAATGGAATCTGACCAAGGCCTGGACGTCTCCTTGAGTGAATTACAGAAAGCTGACCCCAGTCTTGCAGAATGCCATGAGTTAGCCACCTCTAAGGACGAAATTGTAGACGCAGCACCTGGGTACTACTACAATGATCGGATTTTGATGAGAATATGGAGACCACAGAGTGCTCCCTTGTCAAATGAGTGGGAGGTAGTCCACCAGGTTATGTTGCCGACCTGCTATAGAGAAAGAGTTTTGGCAGCTGCTCATGATGATCCTATGGGGGGACATCAAGGTATTAATATTACGTATCACAAAATCTTAAAGTATTTTTTTCTGGCCCAAGCTGAAAAGCGATGTGGCAAAATTTTGTAATGCATGTATTGCTTGTCAACTTGTTGGGAAACCAAACCAGACTCCACCTAAAGCTCCTCTGTGGCCTATTGTCGTGCCAGAGGAACCATTTTCTCATGTGGTAATGGACTGTATTGGCCCATAACCTAGAACTAAGTCTGGTAATATTTACCTAATCACAATGATGTGTATCACGACCCGTTACCCAGAGGCTTTTGCTGTAAGGAACATCCGAGCAAAGACTGTTGTTGCTCGTATGTTGCAATTTTTTTCCACTTTTGGACTGCCTCGGTCGTGCAAACTGACAATGGTACTAACTTCAAGTCTGATATTTTTTAAGAATTTTGTAAGGACCATGGAATAACTCATAAGGTTTCCAGCCCATACCATCCACAGAGTCAGGGGGTAATTGAACGGTTCCATCTAACTCTGAAGCAGATGTTGCAAACATCGTGCGAGAGTTCCCACACCTTCTGGGATGAGAATTTGCCGTATGTTTTGTTTGCTGCTAGAGAGGGGTTACAAAGTTCACTGGGTTGTTCTCCTTTTGAGTTAGTCTGTGGCCATAAAATTCGTGGACCCTTGCAAATGTTACAGGAGAATCTGTTTGGGAACGTAACGTTAACCGAAGGTTCGGCTTTCTTTGCGCAACACCACCAGAGACTCAAGGACTGCAAGGCGGCGGCACTAAAGTATCTTGGGAAGGCCCAAGAAAAGATGAAAGAACGAAACGATGCTAAGGCTAAGTTGCGGGTATTTCAGTCTGGCGACCCTGTCCTGGTATTAAAGCCTCGAATATGGAACACTATGTCCCACAAGTACGAAGGCCCCTACATCGTGACAGAAAAGACAAGGGACCTCACGTACAAAGTGAGGCACTCTGACAAGCGTAACCAGGTAATGCTCGTACACTTGAATGCTGAAGAAGTTGAAGTTCAGCGTACGTGTACGCTGAACTTCTTCAGCGTACACGTACGCTGAAGAAGTTCCAGGGCCCCAGGCCCATTGCACTAACCAATGTTTCCATTTACAGTGAGGGAGGGGATGATTGTTCTGGGGACCCAACTAATCTCATTCTTAATAATTCTAGTTCTGTGAATGCTGTGGAGCAGGGACTGTCCCATTTGCAGATGGCCCAACGTGAAGAGGTGCAGTCGTTGCTTGATGAATTCTCCAGTCTGTTTGGGGAGGTCCCGACCCAGACTGATGCCATTTGCCATGATGTCAAGTTGACGGACTACACCCCCATTCGCCTTCATCCCTACCGGATGAGTCCGGAAAAGAAGGCCATCATACGGAAAGAGGTCGAATTCCTGCTCCAAAACGGCCTCATCCGGCCGAGCCAGGGCTCTTGGTGCTCGCCCTGCCTTTTGGTCCCCAAACCAGACGGCTCCTGGCGATTGTGCACTGACTATCAGCAGCTCAACAAGGTGACCATTGTGGATGATTATCCACTGCCCCTCCTCAAGTACTGCATCGACGAGCTGGGAAACGCCAAGTACGTCTCGAAATTCAACCTCTCGAGGGGGTATTATCAAATCCCACTCACTGAACGTGCTAAACAACTAACTGCGTTCGTGACACCCGAGGGTGTTTTTGAGTATCAAGTGTTACCGTTTGGCTTGTGTAATGCCCCTGCCACGTTCCAGAGGCTAATGAACTCTTTGCTCGCTAATGTGCCAAATTGTCGGGCATATTTAGACGATATCGTGCTCTTTGATAGTAATTGGGCTGACCACATAGCTAGGTTACGCCAGTTGTTCACAGTTTTGAAAAAGGCAAATCTGACCTTAAATGCGAAAAAGTGTCATTTTGGCCAAGGCACAGTGACGTACCTTGGTTATGAAGTGGGCCAAGGAAAAGTGTTACCTCGGCAAGATAAAATCAGTGCCATTCTGGAGTATCAGGTGCTAAAGTCTAAAAAGGACGTTCAAAGATTTACCGGTATGTGTGCGTACTATCGACACATTTGTCAGAACTTTTCCAGTGTGGCCACTCCTCTCACAGACTTGTTGCGGAAGGCCGTTAAATTTAAGTGGTCATCAGACTGTGCACAGGCATTTAAAAATTTGAAATTGATCTTAGCTTCCGCCCCAGTGCTCGCTAGTCCAAGGTTCGACCGACCATTTAAAATTCAGGTTGACACGTCTGACTCGGGTGCTGGTGCAGTGTTGTTGCAAACTGGGGATGATCAGGTGGAACACCCAGTATATTATTACTCTGTGAAATTTGACAATTTTTTTATATTCCTAGTTATTCTAAGGGGGTCCCAGTGGAACCACGTGGTCTCCCTACTCTAAGCTGACTCAAGCTTCAAGTGCTTCACTAGTAGTACTTTACCCTAGCTTGTTCTCTGTGTAAACCTTGTATCCTGCTTATGTGGACCAAGGCTTTTAACGTAAGATAGTGTGGTAAAGTAATTATTATTATTGTTATTGGTGTGAATGTATATGGGGGGTTGTTAAGGGGTTAATAAATAAGTTAGTTTTAAAGGAGTATCCATTCTTCCTAGATCCCCCCATAGAACTTACTCCTATTTATAACACACGCCACCGACAACAACGATATCACACCACCGACAACAAAGATATCACACCATAACCCACAGAGAAATCCCATTATCATGACATATCAATGAACACATCCCCAACTAGATTTAACTAGTGTGTGCATGTGGGGAACCCCCAGCACATAAGTTCGATCCCTCACCACGGCTCCTGTGGATCTGTTTTTCATTAATACCGTAATCTTACCTGTAATGCCCAGCTCACCTGAAAGATTAGGAAGACAATACCACTCACTCCAAATTCTAAACTTTGTACATTAAACTGTCTTGGTGCAACAGAGGAATTATATATATATATATATATGTAAGTGACCCCTCACACTTACACTCCAGCAAGCACTCATTCATTCATTCACTCACTCAGCCAACTAAGGCCTCTGGTACGACAAATTCTGTACCTCTGGAGACACTAACATGCCACAGATCAACACTGCTACACTATACATAATGGAGGCACTATTCCCCTCCGTCCTGGGGGCCTGATTCACGAAGCAGTTATGCAAGCACTTACGAACGTGTACATCTTTCCTCAGTCTTTGACGGCTTTGGTTACATTTATTAAACAGTTTACAAGCATGAAAACTTGCCAATCAACTGTTGTTATTGTTATAAACAGCCTCCTGGTGCTTCGGAGCTCATTAACTGTTTAATAATTGTAAACAAAGCCGCCAAAGATTGAGAAAAAGATGGACAGGTTCGTAAGTGCTTGCGTAACTGCTTCGTGAATCTGGCCCCAGATCTACATAGCCAACCTATCTTGTACAGGACAGATGGGGATATTTTGGTGTAAATTTCTAATACAGAGTAAAGGAAGAGAGTAGAGAGGGAACATACAGAGGACGAGCACTTACCGGCAGCTTTCTTAGCAGCGTAAAGATTAGCCTCTTCCTGGGCCTTCCCGATATTCTTCTTATATCTGATGCGCTTGTTACCGAACCAGTTGGAGACCTGAGGGTACACGGGCCATCATACGCCACTCTCAACACACACACCACACTATACCACACAGTTTACGTTACAATCATGCTCTTGCTACACCTTAATAAACCCCCCCGTTAAGAGCTTGTAACCATATGTATGCATCAGTGAAATGTCCCTATAGCCATTATATCCATATTAAGTGAATATTGTTATTACAGGATTAGTGAATACTCGTGATATATATATATAACAAATACTTATGAGTAAGTGAGGTGGTGAGGGTGTTAGCATGCGCAAGTTACCACCCATTACATCTAGCTACTCACACACACATTTAGATGAGTGCACGCACGCACACAAACACACACACGTACATACAGGAAGGCGTAGGAGACAAGATGAGAGGAAGTCGTGACAGGGCGGGAAGAGGTAGGGCTCAACATAAAAGAATTCCAGAGAGCAACATAAACAGATACACTGAGCCACAACACAGCATACAACAGGGGAAAATAAACCAAGCTACAAGCAGTTATTAACAACACTACAAGCCTAGTATCTACACATAACACAAGAGAGGCAACACACTAGCACTGAGGCACATAGAAGCTGGGGGTTTGGCTGGTCTTCCCAACCTACAGAGATTTTTTTTACAGCATATTTGTTTTGTCTTTGGCTTGAGGCGTGAGGCTGGTGCGCCACGGGGTCCTGGCGCCCACGCCCGTCACTGTTGGTGAGTACTGTCTGAGGGACAGGTAGACAGATGCGGGGATGTCGCGCGCTTACAGGAGGGCTGAGAGAGTTGAGCAGCAGCTCTACAAGCGATCTCGGCCGCCATTAAAGGGGGGAACGGAGTGGCAGAAGCGTTCACAGATTGACACTGTAGTTGTGGTAGAGAAGAGGCTGCAGTGTGTAGCATCAGGCCAGGGGGCGGCCGGACGCCATGTACCAGCCGGTCGCACCGCCACATAGCGGAGGGCCCGCTAGAAAACATCGCCGCCGCCGCCGCCGCCCGCCAGATGGAACACACCGCTCAGGTGACGTGCCACTGCCAGTAGAGAAAGACACTGACAGCACACTACGGTTGGACGCACAGGAGGCACAGGAGGCCACATGAGCAGCCAGCAGTCGGGGCACTGCGTTCCCCACACAAACACCCGCCCACATGCCGCATCTGCGCCCATATTCAGTGCACAAACACTTCTTAAATACCCGGATTTTCCCAGCAAGTTACCCTCGGTATGATGGTGTGTCCCGGGGTAAGTGGAGGCTTGGCACTAGTGCCGGTGGGCGCAGACGGGGGTGTGGACGGGTTTGGGAGGACCCGCGTACTCCGGGAGCAGGCGCAGGGGGGGGAGGCGTGCCGGAGGTTAGTAGATTAGTGAAGGAGGCTACGACACGCCGTTCCCAGGACGTGACATCACGATGCAGCAGGATATAAACTGAATGCCAAATTAGGCTTCAGGAGAGACAAACGTCTCTCCGTGTGGTGGGGGACCTCTCTCTCGTGTGGAAACTGGCCAGGCGGACAAGTGATACCTGAACAGCACCCAATACGAACAAGGTCTAGCACACCATGAGTGGTTCCACATTGTTCTACATGGCGCGCATCATCAGCTTGGCAAACACTGATTTTAAAAAAATGAAAAAAAAAAATGAATAGCTAGATATAGGCTAGCAAGAGAGAGAATGGACCGAGCATGTGCCTAAGTGACAGTGGTGGAGGGGGGGTACTATGCCTCGGCCTGTAGGCCGCCCGGTCGGCAGGGAAGGTCCTCCTCCAACACCCGTGGGCTGCCTGGTGTTACAACTTGAAGGGAAGAGGTAGTGAAGCCCCCCCAGGAGCAGGAGGAGCGGGGGAGTGGGTGAGGGCAGCACAGGGGTGTGGGGGGAGGCGGTGCCCGCGGGTGTCGGAGGGCGCCTAACATGCCCCCGGCACCATACCTGCTGTATCGTGATGTCGCACGCTCTCGCCAGTTCCTCCTTGGCTTCCTCGCTCGGATAGGGATTGGACAAGTGGGAATAGAAGTAATCATTCAGGAGCTCAGTGGCTTGTTTACTAAAGTTTCGCCTTCGTTTCCTGCAAGAAAGTGAACGAGACGGTTACGTTCTTTACCTGAGCCACGGTTATATTGGACTTCCGGGCCAACTCCTCCTTAGCTTCTTCACTAGGGTAGGGGTTACTTAGGTGCGAGTAAAAGTACTCGTTCAAAATCTCTGTAGCTTGTTTGGAAAAATTACGTCTTTTGCGCCTGAAAGAAAACAGCCATATAAAACACCTTGACCAAATCAAAAAAAGCTAAGGGAAGGGTTTGACAACGAACTACCAAAGAGCCGCACCACCGTCCACCCCAAAGCGTTACTCCCATGCCATCTTTGCCGCCGCCCACGCCACACGCCCACACTAGCCGGGCGGATGTCCGCCCGTCCACAGAACCCGCCCCCACTGGCACGGGCGGCCATGGCAGTCACTGTATGTTACCATAGAGTGACTGCCAGCAGTGTGGGCGTGGTGGGCGGCAGGCGAGGAAGCGCTCTACACCCAGCAATGTCCATAGGTCCAATGTCCATTACCTGGTCTCCGCCACGCCAGCCAGTAATGGTGGTGGTGTTAACATGCCGGAGACCCCCCACACCGCCCCCCCCCCAACACACACACACACACCCCCTTCACACTCTTTGAAAACACAAACTCACATTATCCCGCACACCAGAAGGGGGCAGTTCTGAGGCGTGAAAGAGGTGTGTGTGTGTGTGTGTGGGAGAGAGGAGTGTGGGAAAGGGGAGAGCTATCACGGGAAAGGGGACAGCATCAGCCTGTCCCCCTCCCGTCCCACGAAGTCCCACCCCCACCACACACACACACAAAGTCAGGGGGAATAAGTCATAATGGGAAAAATGCAATATTCTATTTAGGAAAAGTCAAGTTGCATGAGCACAAGTAGTTATTTGGTAGTTCGTTGTCAGTGATGGTGAGGGTGATGGTGTGTGAGGGGGGGGGGGCGGGGGCAAGAGATGGTGGTGGTGGTGGCTACAGGTGTCTGTAGACATGGTGATGATGGTGAGCAAAGGTATACCTGGTTAATTGTTATGCCACAACGTCGTGCCAGGGCCTCTTTCTCCTCCTCAGAGGGGTACGGGTTCGACAGGTTGGAGTAAAAATACTCATTGAGAATTTCAGAAGCCTGCTTGCTGAAATTTCGACGGCGTCTCCTGTAAATAACAGGGATATAGAGCAGATGGCCTGGGGTAGGGGGGGGTGGGGGTTGTAAGCGCCCCAGGAAGCCACTCCCCCCCACCCCCAGTCCACCAGGTAAACTCCCCCCCACCCCTCTAACCTACACCAAGCCCCCCCAACCAACCCCTCCCCCCAATCACTAACCCCTGATGGACTGAGGTACACACACCTGCCTGTATAGAAGTGTAAACACCTGCCTGTATAGAGGGGGAAAGAAGACATCTGATCATTAGAACACAATAATTAACATCGATGAATCAAATTACCATGAAACTTGGGGTGGAATAGCATATATGATCCATATATGTCTGTACCGCCACCCACCACAACCTGCAACTTGGTTAATATATATATATATATATATATATATATATATATATATATATATATATATATATATATATATATATATATATATATATATATAGTGCAATAGCGCACTAGTAAATTAAAATAATAACCTACTATTTATTAAAACACTGGGAAACGTAGACCGTATATTTCAATCTCCGAAGTGGGACCCTCTTTAGCGGTGAGCGAGAATGACGTTGTTGTCTTAGATCTAGTTACTCAGAAGGACATGTCCCTGTAGCCCGGGCTATAGGAAGCCCGTAGCCCGGGCTATAGGAAGCCTGTAGCACGGGCTATAGGAAGCCCGTAGCACGGGCTATAGGAAGCCTGTAGCACGGGCTATAGGAAGCCTGTAGCACGGGCTATAGGAAGCCTGTAGCACGGGCTATAGGAAGCCTGTAGCACGGGCTATAGGAAGCCCGTAGCACGGGCTACAGGAAGCCTGTAGCACGGGCTACAGGAAGCCTGTAGCACGGGCTATAGGAAGCCCGTAGCACGGGCTACAGGAAGCCTGTAGCACGGGCTATAGGAAGCCTGTAGCACGGGCTATAGGAAGCCTGTAGCACGGGCTATAGGAAGCCTGTAGCACGGGCTATAGGAAGCCTGTAGCACGGGCTACAGGAAGCCTGTAGCCCGGGCTACAGGAAGCCTGTAGCACGGGCTATAGGAAGCCTGTAGCACGGGCTATAGGAAGCCTGTAGCACGGGCTATAGGAAGCCTGTAGCACGGGCTATAGGAAGCCTGTAGCCCGGGCTATAGGAAGCCTGTAGCCCGGGCTATAGGAAGCCTGTAGCACGGGCTATAGGAAGCCTGTAGCACGGGCTATAGGAAGCCTGTAGCACGGGCTATAGGAAGCCTGTAGCCCGGGCTATAGGAAGCCTGTAGCACGGGCTATAGGAAGCCTGTAGCACGGGCTATAGGAAGCCTGTAGCACGGGCTATAGGAAGCCTGTAGCACGGGCTATAGGAAGCCTGTAGCCCGGGCTATAGGAAGCCTGTAGCACGGGCTATAGGAAGCCTGTAGCACGGGCTATAGGAAGCCTGTAGCACGGGCTATAGGAAGCCTGTAGCACGGGCTATAGGAAGCCTGTAGCACGGGCTATAGGAAGCCTGTAGCCCGGGCTATAGGAAGCCTGTAGCACGGGCTATAGGAAGCCTGTAGCCCGGGCTATAGGAAGCCTGTAGCACGGGCTATAGGAAGCCTGTAGCACGGGCTATAGGAAGCCTGTAGCACGGGCTATAGGAAGCCTGTAGCACGGGCTATAGGAAACCTGTAGCACGGGCTATAGGAAGCCTGTAGCACGGGCTATAGGAAGCCTGTAGCACGGGCTATAGGAAGCCTGTAGCACGGGCTATAGGAAGCCTGTAGCACGGGCTATAGGAAGCCTGTAGCACGGGCTATAGGAAGCCTGTAGCACGGGCTATAGGAAGCCTGTAGCACGGGCTATAGGAAGCCTGTAGCACGGGCTATAGGAAGCCTGTAGCCCGGGCTACAGGAAGCCTGTAGCACGGGCTATAGGAAGCCTGTAGCACGGGCTATAGGAAGCCTGTAGCACGGGCTATAGGAAGCCTGTAGCACGGGCTATAGGAAGCCTGTAGCACGGGCTATAGGAAGCCTGTAGCACGGGCTATAGGAAGCCTGTAGCACGGGCTATAGGAAGCCTGTAGCACGGGCTATAGGAAGCCTGTAGCACGGGCTATAGGAAGCCTGTAGCACGGGCTACAGGAAGCCTGTAGCACGGGCTATAGGAAGCCTGTAGCACGGGCTACAGGAAGCCTGTAGCACGGGCTATAGGAAGCCTGTAGCACGGGCTACAGGAAGCCTGTAGCACGGGCTATAGGAAGCCTGTAGCCCGGGCTATAGGAAGCCTGTAGCACGGGCTATAGGAAGCCTGTAGCACGGGCTATAGGAAGCCTGAAACATGGGCTCACTATCTTCTGAAGCCTCACTGATATGGATACATTATACAAGAATTATCTCATATAATGCTATGATTGGTCTCTCATGTTTACATAAACCCGTGAGACTAATCACAAAATTAGACGAGATAATTCTTTGCGTCATTAATCACTAAAGGCTTCAAATGAAAAATAATACTCTACAATCTACTTTTATACCTGACCGCCCTGACGTGACGCCTTAGAGAGAGCAGCTTCAGCAGTCATGCTCCCTCACGGCTCAAGAGAAACCCACTTTTGGGGGTCGAAACAGCCCAAATTTCCATGTGTTTTCAAAAATAGTGGATTATAACTTTCAAATGATATTATATATATATATATATATATATATATATATATATATATATATATATATGTATATATATATATATATATACAGACTGACAAAAGTTGTCAAACAAACCTTAATAAACATTTCTGTACAAACACTGCACATCTGGGCTCCAGTCACCTGGAAAATACAGTGTTGTATTTTCCAGGTGACTGGAACCTATTGTACTACAGTACTGCTGTATTGAGTACTGCTCTCACTTCTCCACTTAAGAGAAATGCCAGCAAGGGTTTGGATGTTCAAACCATCGAGAGTCGTGCAAGCATTTGGGCTCTCTGGGTTGAACTTCAGCTCCTGGGTCCCGCCTGACGACGTTGAATACTGGGAGAGAGAAGGAGGTGGATGGTGTTATGTGGATGGTGTTATGTAGGTGGTACTTATGTGGATGGTGATATGTGGGTGGTACATATGTGGGTGGTACATATGTGGGTGGTACATATGTGGGTGGTACATATGTGGGTGGTACATATGTGGGTGGTACATATGTGGGTGGTACATATGTGGGTGGTACATATGTGGGTGGTACATATGTGGGTGGTACATATGTGGATGGTGTTATGTAGGTGGTACATATGTGGATGGTGTTATGTGGGTGGTACATATGTGGATGGTGTTATGTGGGTGGTACATATGTGGATGGTGTTATGTGGGTGGTACACATGTGGATGGTGTTATGTGGGTGGTACATATGTGGATGGTGTTATGTGGGTGGTACACATGTGGATGGTGTTATGTGGGTGGTACATATGTGGATGGTGTTATGTGGGTGGTACATATGTGGATGGTTGTTTTAAACGAAGTGGGTGAATAGATATTTGGTGGATTCGCATAAAGTGTATTCACCTATTTATATTCACCTATTTGTTTCTGCAGGATCGAGCTTTAGCTCTCTGACCCCGGCTTTCTAGCCACTGGTTGTCTAATGTACAAACTCCAGACCAATTTCTCTATTAAAATTGTGAACGGAGACGGCTTCTGCACCCCTCATGGCACACAGAAATCACAATAGCCTGATGTATCAAATGAACAAATCGACAAGGGGGCAGAAGCACTCCAGGTTGCAATTCTTTTGACGGTGTCATGGTCCAGGTGACTTAAGGTGCTTCTGAGAATATCCCGGGCGTAGGTTCGAATCCTCATCACGGCCCTTGTGGAGTTGCTAACTGACCACATTTTAAAACCTCTCTACGAATCATCTACTTCTCAAGCTTTGCCTCATAACCCCTTTTAATGGTATTCATTGTGGACATATCCTCTTCCCCCCCCCCCCCTTCCCCATTCCTCCATAAGTATTTTATGTCTAAATCCTCTTCTATCCTCCTACTTTCCCAGCGACGACAGGTCTAGTTCTTTCAGTCCTCATGCATTATCTCACATAATTCTTGGACGAGACTTTCCCAGCGACGACAGGTCTAGTTCTTTCAGTCTTCATGCATTATCTCACGTAATTCTTGGACGAGACTTTCCCAGCGACGACAGGTCTAGTTCTTTCAGTCTTCATGCATTATCTCACGTAATTCTTGGACGAGACTTGTTGAACACTTCCAAACCTTTACGTGATTTTTTTGTTGTGTTTATGGGGGGTTCCATGAGGGGTCGGCATACTCTCAAGACTGGTCTCAGGTAGGCGGTGAATAGGGGCACCTAAATGCCTCCTTATTTAGACCATGCTGCTGATGTTATCCCGTTTATGTGAGCCTCTGGAGTTAGGTTTGGTGTTGTGTTCACTCCCAGGTGTCTTTTATCCTTATCCTGTGGTCCTGGGTTCGATCCCGGGCGCCGGCGAGAAACAATGGGCAGAGGTTTTTTTTCACCCTATGCCTCCCTGTTACCTAGCCGTAAAATAGGTACCTGGGTGTTAGTCAGCTGTCACGGGCTGCTTCCTGGGGGTGTAGGCCTGGTCGAGGACCGGGCCGCGGGGACACTGAAAGCCCCGAAATCATCTCAAGATAACCTCCCCAGTATCACTTCCAAAACTGGACAAACCATTGCCACAACAACACCCCCTGGGTCAGGGTAGAGAGGAGGTTATCTTGAGGTTATCTTGAGATGATTTCGGGGCTTTTAGTGTCCCCGCGGCCCGGTCCTCGACCAGGCCTCCACCCCCAGGAAGCAGCCCGTGACAGCTGACTAACACCCAGGTACCTATTTTACTGCTAGGTAACAGGGGCATAGGGTGAAAGAAACTCTGCCCATTGTTTCTCACCGGCGCCTGGGATCGAACCCAGGACCACAGGATCACAAGTCCAGCGTGCTGTCCGCTCGGCCGGCCGGCACCGGCAGGACGGAGAACCACCAAAACCTTCCAGAAGTTACACACAATATGGACAATCAT